GATCAGTGCTATGGTCCTATAGTTGTTGCAGTCTCTTGTGTCTCCCTTCTTTATGGATGGAGATGTATATTGATTGCTTCCAATCTGTTGGCCATTGTTTAGTTTTCATTATCTGTTGACATATGTTGGTTAGCACTAGAGTTAACTCTCTCAGTGTGGTTGCAGCAGTTCAATTGAAATATCATCTGTTCCTGGTGATTTGTTTTTCGCTATTTCTCTTATTGCTGTTTCCACTTCACTTTTTAGAATTTGGGGTTCATCTTCACATGGCTCTTTGTTCCATGTGTCCTTCATTTTGTCATCTATTTTGTATAATTCTTCTGTGTATTGCATCCAACATCTTTTTATTCCTTCCTGGTCTTGAATTATGTTATTTTTATTGTCATAGATCGTCCTAGTTCTTGGTTTGAATTTTCCTTTGATTTCCCGGATCTTGTGAAATAGATCTCTTGTTCTTCCCTTTTTGTTGTCATCTTCTATTTCCCTGCATTGGTCATTGTAGTAATTTTCTTTATCTTTCCGCACAAGCCATTGTACTGTTGCATTCATAATTCTTAGTTTGTTCCTATCTCTCTTTTGTTTTTTTTCTCTTCTTTATTGTTTGTAGTATTTTTTTTTGTCATCCATTTTTTTTCTTTCTTTTTGTTTATTGAAAGTGTCTGTCTGCACTCTTCTTTTATTATGTCCCTGGCTTTCGACCATAGTTCCTCTGGTTCTCAGTCTATCATGCTTGGTAATCCAAATCTGTTTCTTATGTTGTCAGTAAATTCTGTTGTCTGGTAACCATGGATGAATCTTGGATCTATCAATATGATCCGGAGACCAAAACTATGAGCATGGAGTGGAAGCATGTAGACCTCCCTCCCCTCAAAAAGGCAAAGGTGCAGAAGTCAGCAGGGAAGGTCATGCTCTCAGTTTTTTGGGACTGTCATCAAGTCATTCTCACAGATTACCTTGCAAAGGGACAAACCATCACTGGCACATACTACAGCAATCTTCTGGACAAGTTGCAAGATGCTCTGAAAAAGAAAAAGGTGGTATGCTTTCCAGAGGCATTCGTCTCCTAGCTGACAATGCACCAGCTCACTCATCTCAAGCTGCAGTTCACAAAGCAAGGGCATGTGGCTTTGAGATCTTTCAGCATCCGCCTTATTCTCCCGAACTCGCACCACGTGACTTTTTCTTGTTCCCAGAAATGAAAAATCCATTGCGGCATTGCCGATTTGAAGACACAAATGATGCCATTCATGAAGAGGAAG